TTAAGGTTCTCCTTGCCTTGAAGCTTCAGGATGTAGGACAGGAAAAAGAGGGAGAAGGCTACATTGAGGAAGCTCTGAACAGCACATCCTCCCAAACCTATGTCTTTCAATATGCAAGCAAATTTTACCGAAAAAAGGGCTGTGTGGATAAAGCTATTGAGCTCCTTAAGAAAGCCTTGGAGACAAGACCCAACTCTGCCTCAGTGCATCACCAGTTAGGGCTTTGCTACAGGGTAAAACTGTTTCAAGTAAAAAATGCAAGAAATATGAACCCTAGAAGGCAGGAAAGAGAAAATGTGCACAGATGGGTTCAATTGGCTATAAAAGAATTTCAAGAGACTCTAAGATTAAAGCCAAGATTTGAGATGGCTTATGTTCACATGGCTGAAATGTATGCAGTAAGAGGCCAGTGCAGAGAGGCAGAAGAAAATTTTCAGAAAGCATTATGCATGGATAACCTTGCTGACCACATACAGCAAGACATTCATTACCGCTATGGCCATTTCCAACAATTTCACATGAGATCTGAAGACAAAGCAATCACCCATTATTTAAAAGGATTAAAAATACCAGAAATGTCCTTTGCCAGGAAAAAACTTATAAGTGCCTTAGAAAAACTGGCTGAAAGCCATGTGAACCAGAATGTGAGTGTTGTGGCCAGGGTCAGCCTCCTGGGGCTCAGCCATGAATTACAAGGGGAAGTGAAGGAGGCCCTGCTGTGCTATGAGAGGGCTCTGAGGCTCACTGATCAGCTGAACCCTGTGTTTTGAGGAAGGGGCCCCACCTCCCACTTCATCTACTCACAACTAAATAGAACAACAAGCTTCCCTGCTTGCTGCCTCCTGAAATGTATAACTGCTGAAATAAAAAAGTAGATGGGACAGCACATGCCCTCTCCCTGCCTGCCTGCTCCTGCCTTCTCCCTGCTGCCTTAGTGCCTAGGCCAGGAGCATCCATCCTCTCTCCTGGCATCCCTGCACTCATTGGCCCTGGATGAAAATCCTGTTTGACACCCAGCAGCTGCTGGATCCACCAGGATCCTTTTCCTAATGACTGTGCCTTGGAAATGAACTGCTTCTTCCTTCAGTGAGGCTGTTGTCCTGGACCAAGGAGAATTCAACAGAAAGGGGTTCTTTTTTATGTGGCCAGATACCCTGAGGTACTACAAAATCCAAGAGCAAGACAACTTTTCCTCCTCTAAAATCATTCCTGTCAAGTCTTTTGGTTACAGCAATGAAAAAGCTGATGAAAACGCATCTCTGGAAATTTGTTCAAGCTAACAAGACTTTTGATGTTTCAGGGAAATAAAAAGAAGAAGAAAAACAAATCTTGTGTGAAAGGTGCCAGTTGAAAATGACATAAAGAGGTTTCTATAGTTTTTAGGTGGTATGTGATATATGCTTTGTTTTTTCATCTGACCTGAAAAGATCATTAAAATTTACTAAAAGTACAAACTCTTTCAGTGTGTTTTGTTGGCCACATGACATAAGGACACATGTGAAAGAAAAGTGTGTAAGGGAAGGGGAGAAGGGATAAGGCAGGGTAATAGATTTGGTGGATACAATCAAAGTTTGTTAGATATGTGTATGAAAATGTCACAGGGGAACCCGATATTTTGTACAATTAATATGCTCTAATAAATATAATGGAATGTTTTTATTAAAAGTTTTGGGATGAAATGGAGAACTGTGGAACCAACTCACACATCCCTGGTAGTCCGAAGCAAGGGAAGTGAAAATGCGTGTGCATGTGGCATAGTATCAACGTCATGGCTGTTTGCACAACAGACATTGAAAGGTCGGCAGCATCAGCATTCTCCACGGGTGGAGTTTTGAATAACCTTGCTGACCACATACAGCATATATATAGTTATCCATGCATATATATAGTTTTATTCAACTATAAATATTCAGCATATTGTTCTAAGATCACTAATTCTTTGAGTGTGGTTAGAAACTTCACAAAATATGTATATTCCCTGTTTGTGTGCAAACAGAAAACTGTAGAATCCACTCATATACTACTATAAGGCCTGAAGCAAAGACATTCATGCCAATACCTACACTACCAAAGTCTTTAGAAAAGACAGGGGAGGAATTCAGTTTTAGAAGCCATAAAATTGGAAGGCTGACATGTCACCTGAATTCCTGAGTTATGAAACTGGCCAGTAGCACATAAACACACACATTCACATCACATAAAACTAGATACATGAGAGCATCTTTTAAAATTTTCTCAATTATCTCTTTTTGACAATATACAGGATAAAATGTTTGGATAAAAGAGCAAATACAAATATCCAAGAAACAAAGCAGAGTGAGATAAATGAGCCAAAATATGCATGGATAGAGATAAACCCATGTGGAGAGGCAGGGTTCCCAAGGAGTTTTAATAAACCACTCCTATTTAACAAGATATGCCTATGAGAGAGAGAAAGAGAGAAATATTTGGTCTTATTTTGTTTGTGCGGAACTTTTAATATTTTTCTCTGTGAATGCTTAATAACTTGAGTCTGTGAAATAAATTAGCAATAGAGAGAGTTATGGCTTCAATCTGAAATGTGTCCCTAAATCTCATTTTTGAAAGTTTGATTCCCAATTTGATTGGATCATGAGGGCTCAGATTTCATAAGTAGATTGGTCCACAGATTCATCATTTGAATGAGAAATTAGGAGGTGGTAGAAACTGTACGAGGCAGGGCCCATTGGGAGGGAATGGGTTTTGAATGAATACTTTTGGGGATTCTATCTTGTGCTTGTTCTCTCTCTCTCTCTCTCTCTCTTTCTGTCTTTCTCTCCCTCTATCTCACCTTCCCATATTCCCACCTGTGATTCCCATCTACAATGTGTTCAACTACTTGCATCCACCATGCCCTTCCACCATGATGTATTGCCTTACCACAGGCCCAGAAGAAATGGAGTCAGCCAACCACACACAGAAACCTCTAAATCTGTGAGACAAAATACATGTTTTATTCTCTAAGTTGATTTCCCCAGGTATTCTGTCCCAGTGACAAAAGCTGACTAACATAGAAAATTGATTTCAAATAGAGAGGTCATTCTTGTGACAATACTTGACCATGTGGCTCAGAGCCTTTGGAACTGGTTTCTAAGAAGAGTTTGGAAGTTTTGGTGATACAGGCTAGAAACCTCCTAGAAAGTTAGACACAGAGCTTAATGGACAATTCTGGTATGAGCTCAGAAGACCAGAATTCTGCTCAAAATTCACAAAGTACACACAGTGTTGATGAGTTTCCACATGGGAATGAGGACACTATTGGTAAATGAACTAGAGGCCATGTGAGTCACATTATGTCAAAGAACTTGTCTACATTTTGTCCATGCACTGAGATTTTTCTGAGATACGCTGAGAGCATATTAGGAATTAGTTGGGCCTCACCTATCACAGAACATACATGCCCCTGCCTGAATGCTGTATTGTATTAAAGGTGACAAACTAATTAATTAGATGGAGAATATTTCCAGGGAAGACAGCATTCAGGCAGGGGCATGTGTGTTGCTGATGGTTATGAGTCCCATTTCCTGTAAGAAAAGAGTAAGAAGCTGAGAAAAAAGCTTTGAACAACTTTCAGCTTGGCCAGAAAAGCAAAGGTACAATTGGGCCCATGGAAGTTGACACTAAAGAGATTACCCCTACTAAAGGAAAGCGAAGGACTATGCTCGAGGACAATGAGATGCTTGGAGGGCATATGAAGCATTAGTTGGGTCCCACCCATCACAGCTCAAGGGTGTAAAAGTGTAAACTGTTTCTTTTTTTTTTATAATTTTATTTTTTTATTGGTTGTTCACAACATTACAAAGCTCTGGACATATCATATTTCATACGTTAGATTGAAGTGGGTTATGAACTCCCAATTTTACCCCAAATGCAGATTGCAGAATCACGTCGGTTACACATCCACAATTTTACATAAT